AGGAATTCAGATTGCAAGCCAACTGGGTGTCAACAGACTGTATTGAAGGAGACTTTAAGGTGGTGGTAGGGTGGTTACAGGGTCGAGATTCTGCTATTTGGAAATACAGGGACTTACTAAGGAAAGTTAAGTGGCTAATAAGGGATATGACAATTAGAATACAATGGGTGAGCAGGTCATCCAATGCTATGGCTGATGTTTTGGCTAAACAAGGGGCTGTTAGGGAGTTTCTGTTTGTACCTGAGTTGTAATACTTAATTTTTCAGTACAACTTTCAGTTGTTTTTGGGCTCAAGGGTGTGGCTGCATCTCGTGCCCCCCAAGGGGAGCTTGTAACTGCTTTAATTTCTGGTCAAGAAAATCTATTCATTTATTAAAAAAAATTCTTGAGAAGAAAAGAATATGGGAAGTGGAGTGTGCTATGACAAGGATGATACATTGGGTTAGAACATTGGACATTTTCTAACTGTTCTCCTTTGATGATATTTGGAGAAATTGGGGTGAGGTGGCACAAAGCTCATCTAAAAATGAGTCGGTTAATTTGGTGTAGTTACCTCCTTCTAAAGGTTACATGAAGCTCAATTTTGATGGGAGCATCCATGGAAATTTGGGGCCTTAGGGGGACATTTTAGGGATGAGAGTGGTAATGTTATTGCTTTGTTCTCAGGATCAGTTGGTGTGGGAGATTCCATTAGAGCTGAATTCCTTTTTGTTATTCAGAGAGTTCAGATTGCAAAATATTTGAATATGGAGAAATTGATTATGGAAGGTGATTCCATGTTAGTAGTGTGATGGTTAGGAAAGCTGGAGTCTGTTATTTGGGCTTTAGGGAGGAAATGAAGAGGTTTAAATGGCTAACAGGCACCATGAAGTTAGTAGGTTATAAGATCAGATAATGGGATGGAGGATACTTTATCTAAGCAAGTGGTTAATAGGGATTCTTGAGTTTGATAGGGATATAAGGGACTCTAAACTTCCTGCTGTTATTACTCTTTTACATTTCCTTGAGGAGATCTATCTTGACCCCTCTAAGTCGGATAGGCGAATTTGGACCCCTTCACCCTCTGGCTCCTTCTCCTATGCCTCTTTTTACCAGCCTTAACTCTTCCTCTCACTAGCTCTCTTTAATCTTTTCCTATTAAGGAGGTATGGTGCAAGTTTGTTCCTCCTAGGTTCGGAGCTTTTTGTTGGAAAGTTGTGCATGGGAGAATTAATACTTGTGACCTTCTCCAAAAGAAGAGACTTTAGTGGTACTTATCCCTTCATTGGTGTGTCCTATGTAAAGCTAATGGTGAGACTTTCTACCACTTATCGATCACCTATCCTTTTATTGTGTATATCTGGGAATGGTTCTTCTCTTTGTTCGGGTGCAGGTAGAGATTCCTGCTGATGTGCCAAGCCTCTTTGCTCCTTCCAACATTTGCTTGGCATAGAAGAAGGGGAAGAATTATGTGGAGGTGCACAAGGGCAGCAATAATTTGAATAATATGGGAAGGAAGGAACTCAATAATCTTTTTGGAAAAGGAAATTAATAGAAAGCATTTTGATGAGAAATGTACAGTGGCTGAAATCCTTGGAAACTTCCTCACTTGTTTAAACAGATGATATTCTTAGAAATTGGCAGGAAGTGGTAGAGTCATCCTCCAAAAAGATTACTAGCATTCCTTCTTGGACCCCACCTGAAAGAGGTTTCATTAAACTTAATTTTGATGGAAACAGTTTAGGGAACCCAAGTTTGTTAGGATTTGGAGGAGTACTTAGAGATGATGAGGGTAAAATAATTGCTCTATACTCAGGGCCAATAGGAATGGGAGATTCTCTAAGGGCTGAAGTTTTGGCTATGTTGAAAGGAGTACAAAGTGCAAGGAATTTGAATATAATTGAAGGAGATTTCAAACTGATTATGGTTTGGTTACAGGATGAGGAGGAAAAGATGTGGAGCTACAACAATGAGAAGAAGAAATTTAGATGGTTGGTGAAAGACATGGAGGTGAAATTTCAATGGGTCAAGAGAAAGTGCTCTCTGGCAGATTCATTAGCCAAACAAGGGATGGGGAGGGACCAAGTATGTTGGGCTCAATTGTAACTAAAAGAAAGGAAAAGTTGAGGAGAGATAAGAGCATGGTTTTTAAAACCGACCCGGGGACTGAACTGGTCAGGGGTTTGGTTACCGGGTCGAATGGACTGACCGTTCGAACCGTTCTGACAAAAAAAGTAAAAAAGTTTAAAAAAATAAAAAACGGTCAAAACAGTTTGAACGGTTAACCGCCCGGGTTAGCAGTTTGTTGACCAAAATCAACGGTTTTTGAGCCGGTCCGACCGTCCGGTCCGATCCGATTTTGAAAACCATGGATAAGAGAGTTTATTTCTCATTGACTTTCTTCTGTAGTTCTGTTGATGTTCCCTTAACTTATTAATCTCTTGCTTTTTTGTTTTTATCAAAGAAAGGGATTTTCTGTATTGGTCTTGGTTGTAAATTTAGACTTTGCTTTTGTCTTGGGGCCTTGGGGGGTGCACCTTGCATCTCTCCATGGGTTGCATGCAAGCACCTTGCATCTCTCCATTGGATACACGTGTATCAGAGAAAAACTAAGATACACTTAGAAACACTATAAATACTTTAATAAATCATAAAAATACATCAATAACACTAAATATAAGGTCTCAATGAGGTATATATACATTAAATTAATATATTTTAATGGTTTTATGAAGAAATATATTGTAGTTAATTATAATTTCATTAAAAATCCTATGCTTAACTATAATTTATAAATTATAATTCTTAAGTTTTAATGTTTTATGGGATGGGAAAAACCCAACTCTCCTTTCCAACCATAGAACATGCATTGGCACAACTTCTAAGTGAAAATAGAATTAATAATTATTTATTATTTATTTCTAAAAATTATAAAAAATAAATAAACATTATATAATATATTCAAAAAATAGTTATTAAAGAAGAAATTCCAATTGCTTTGTGGATATAATAGATCATCCATAGAATTATAATATATTCAGTCATTGTGATCAAATGATAAAATTTAATTATTTATTTATTTATTTTTTAATTCTAAAAATAAAAAATAAAAAAATATTTATTAAATAAGAAATTTCAATTGGTCTGTGGATATGTTAGATCATCCATAGAGTTATAATATATTCAGTTGGTGTGATCAAATGATAAAATGTAATTAATTATTATTTATTTTTTAATTCTAAAAATAAAAAAATAAAAAAATACTAAAGAAGAAATATCAATTGCTCTATGGATATGATAGATAAATCCATAGATCTAAAACATATTTAGTCTTTATAGATAGAGAAAAATTACATTTTCAAATTTTTTATTAATTTATATTTTCCCCAAATATCTTCATGAAATTTCCATAAATTTATTAATAACACAAAAAATTATGATTTTGAATGTAAGAAATGTAGATCAACATAAATTTAAACATTCAAGAAAAAAATAAATCACAAGATATTATAAAAATTTGAAAAAACTTACCTATTTTTGCCATATTTTTTCAAAATTTGAAAAAATTTCAAAAAAAAAAAATCAATTCACACCTGTTTCTTGCAAATTTTTGTAAATCTAGCACTCTAGGAATGAGGTTTGGAGTTTTAGAGTCATTTGGGGGTGAAAAATGGCTTATTTTAGGGAAAACAACCTTGCTTTTCCCCTTTATTTTTTTTTCAGTTTTTGGCCATATCTTTTTCGTCGATACACTACCGTTACGCCCCGATACACCCCTGGTAGCCCCCGATACGGTTCGATGAGTCCGAGTCGCATGAAAAAAAGACGAGACATCCGATTTCCATGCGTATCCCATATCTGTTTTTCAAAGATTCGATACGATACGGCCCGTATCGGGTGTATCATATCGAAATTTTAAACCTTGGTTGCATGTATTGTTTCATGTTTATTGATGCCTCTTTAATAAAATTATAATTTACTTATAAAAAAATGTGAATAGAGATGCCATTCTCACATGTGGTACATTAAGAAATATAATGGAAATGTAATTCAAATGTGCATTTAGTAAGAAAAAACTAAAGGGAGATTTTTAGGGTTAAAAGAGTGATTTTTGAGTTCAAATTGTTTTGCTTTATTTATAGCTAACTAAATAATCAAATTTTCTTGAATTTTGAGGAGGTATTTTAATAATATATTTTAAATTTTCATTTTTTCAAGAGCAATACCTCACCAATTTGAGGTGGTGAGCTGTACACCTCATATAAATTGAGGTGGTAGCCTCCCAGCCTGCTGGTAACGTATATGATACTAGGTGTTTTGGTTCCTCCTTGCCTCGAGGTGTATGCATCAATGCCTCGTCTCATAGCCTTTTTCTGGGGAAACAGACTGTGGGGACAATTCAAACGTGTTGTATGGGCCACTTGGCCCTTGGGCTAATTTTACAATTTTGCCTTGTGCTGTGAACTTTCACTGTAGAAGTTTCATTTCAATCAATAGTTCAACATTAAAAATGATTCTTTAATTGATATTAGAGTATGGTCTTCCTAGGTTTACAACTACTTGATAAGCTGTAATCTCTATCCATGCTTACTTTGAGTGCCATGAATTGGAGAAAAGAATTGTTTCTTTGGGTAAATTCAGTTTTCAAATGTTTTATAGGCTATTTAGCTTACCATTGCTTCTGTACCTGAACCCAAATTGTTTGAGTAACTAAAGATACGATGGTTGAACCTAGCTGTGTACCATCGTTCTCAAGGGTGACGTACCTAATATCCTAAACATTATCGAAGTTCTAGTTTTTGGAATTTGTATTTTCTGAAGTTTTAATTCAATGTAAATTAATGACTGGTACAAATTCAGTGCTAAGCAAATTTAGATGTATAATGCCTAATGTTGCTGTGAATGTTATTTGCAATCATGTCAATGTTTAAGCTTACATGATTTCCAGGTTCTTAGTTGACAAGGATAATTGATCTTTCCAACTTGAATGGTTCTACTGAATGAATGCTCTAGTCATGTAGGTTTTACTTGGAAGAGCAACAGATGATATTAATGTTGACATTGACCTTGGAAGAGAGGGGCGTGCTAATAAAATTTCTCGGCGTCAGGTGCAATTTTCTTTGAAATCCTCTATTTTTTTTTTCTTTTGCTCAATCGGATGGATACTATTGTTTTAGAAATATAAAATTCAAGTTTTTATTGCTCACCTTTTCTATATATTTTTTCTTTTCCTTTAGCAATCCAATCTACAAATAATACTTCTGGTTGGGGTTCATCCTGAAGGTATTCAGCCCTAGGTTAGTGAAGAGAAGAAGAAAAGGAAGAATAAAAAGAATGGGTGGCAATCCCTTCTGCCCAGCCTAGGAATGTTATTTATAAGTGAGTTTGAATATTACATAAAGAAACAAAATCGCCCCTGCTTAGGTGGCAGTAAGTAGAGATAAGAAATACATAATAAGTCCAGGCCCATACACTTAACAAAAAGGGAAAAAAAACATAACAGAGAACTGAAAGCCCAAGCCTACCTCTTTATGTCTCACAAGACTTCCCCCTCGAGCTAAGCATATTGCCAACTTGCATAGAAGCTCCACAAGTTGTGATTTGGTAAGGCCTTTGGTGAACACATCAGCTAGTTGTTTTGTGGTAAGCATGTAACGAATACAGAGGTGTTCGGAAGCAATCCTTTCTCTCACAAAGTGTATCGGTTTCAATATGTTTAGTTTTTATCATGCTGAATTGGATTATTTGCAATGTTAATAGCTGCATAGAAGAAGTAGAGCTTTAGAGGTCCATTCATATTTATCCCCAATTTATTTAGAAGAATGTGAAGCTAGAATAACTCAGCAACCCCATGTGTCATGGCTTTGCATTCAGCTTTATCACTCGATCTAGCTACAACAATTTGTTTCTTACTTCTCCAAGTAAAAGATTACCACCTACAAAGGTACAATTTCCAAATGTAGTCCTATCTCCACGAGATCCAACCCAATTAGTATCAGTATAAGTCTCTACCTCAATTCTATCATGTTTCTTGAATAATAATCCTTTTCCCAGGCATGTCTTGAGGTATCTCAAAATCATTTCTACCACTTTCATGTGTGAAACTCGAGGTGCATGCATAAACTAGCTGACCTCATGAACTGAATATGCTATGTTTGTCAATTAACATAAAGCAGAACAGCAAATCAAGAAAAATATAAGAAGAAATAGAGAAAACACCAAGATTTAACGTGGTTTGGCTCAGTAGCCTACATCCACGGAAAGAGAGGGAAAATCTCTACTATGAGAACAAGAGGTACATGGCTGACCTCTCTACAGATGCACAACAAAATATCCACTCTTACTCAACTCTAATCCCACACAACCAATGGTTTAGATAAGCAAAAGGCCAAATTATATCAGAATTTCATGCAGGTCCCTCTTCCTCCCATTAATACATGCAAGTCCCCAAAATTTATCAACATTACAAACATGTTTTTTTTATGTATTTTTTGTGTTTTCTGTGTTTTCTGTATGGAGAGGCAGCACCTCGCGCCTCTCTAAGGGGATTCTCGTGTAACTGATCTTTGAATTAATGGAATATGACTCTTTACTTATAAAAAAAAAAAACCTATAACCTCCAAAAACCCAAATACAATATATCTCTCTACAATGTTAGGTTTGGTGAGAGAGAGGTGGAGCAGCTTACCAACAAGTCTTTGTTTTAGCAAGTTTAGTCCCTACTCCCTTGTCTCCTTCAAGAGATCCAATGCATATTTCCCTTGACAAATATATATCCCTTCACTGGATCTTGCTACCTCTATTCTCAAAAATATCATAGAGGTCCCAAATCTTTAATTTTAAATTATGTGGCTAAGAAGGATTTCAACCTCTGAACCTCTATTGGATAGTTACTAGTGACTACCATGTCAATAACATATATAATTAGTGTTGTTAGGCTTCCTTCAGTTCTTTTAGGGAACAATGTGTGATCGACACTACTTTGCTTGTATGTTTTAGTCTTCATTACCTTGCACAATCTCTCAAACTAGGCCCTTGGAGATTGTTTAAGCCCATACAAGGCCCTTTTCAATTTACACTTTCTTTCATGTCATACCTTAGGGGAGGATCCATGTATACTTCCTCCTGCAGCAAGGTTCAAAGTATATACCCATGTGTATCAGCAGAGGCGTATCGGTACTAAAAAAGGCTTGGAATGTCGATGCCAGTGGAAATCTTAGTCATCCAAATATAAGAAACATGTCAGAATTGTCAGAAATATTATACAGAAATATTGTAAAAATTATAGATATGGTGGAAACATTATAAAATGTGCAAAATATAGAATGGTATTTTATGAAATGATAAAAGAAGCATAGGCACACCTTTTTAAATTATTATCTTATTCTAAATCATTAAACAAAGCTAAGAACCTAAGGTTATAGACAAAAGAATATGTTCTAAAGTTGCCCTATAAACCTTAAGATTTAGATCTTCATGATAGAATGAGTTAAAGCAAAATTTAAACTCATAGAAAATGCAAATGGTTCTAATAGATTAACCAAATAATCTATTACACAAACAAAAAACTAATATTTAACTTCATATTTGAAACGAATAATGAGTTAGCTCAAAGTGGTAATCATATAAGTTAGGTGGACAATAACTTGCTACTTCACATACCTACAATATTGTCACCATAGTTTTCAAGGCGCCAAGGCGAGGCTAGGCGACTGGGAGGTGCCTTGTCGCCTAGTCGCCTAGGCAATGGATTTTTTATGTTAAAAACATGGATCCTAGGGTAGTTCCCTAGGTACCATAACCATATTTCTTTAATAATTATTCATGATTTTCATAAGAAAAGTATAAATTTCATATTAAAGTATAGAAAATCAACATATTCATGAGAAGAAAAGGAAGAAGGAAA